CCGCTGACTCTTGGCGCGCAAACCCATAGGCAAATCATCCCCCTCATCATTACCCTTCTCTTCCTTACCGGCGTGGCCTGGGTGCTTTGGCAGGTGTACCTCTCCGTGAACAAAATCCAAGAGTCCGCCTCGGAGCGCATGGGCAAGAAGAACGTCGTCTTCACGAAGGACGGCGTCCGCGTTGGTGTCAAGCACACCTCGAACGAGAACTACGTCGATAAAACCCAGAGTTGGGTCGTCAAGGCTTGGAATTTGAGCGGAAATACTGTCGGTCAAATCAAGAAGACCAAATAATGCGCACGCATCACCAAACATGTTGCGGGCAGTGTCTAAGCGGGGCGGAACGGTAGGACGCGGAAAACCGATGCGAAAAAATAGGCAAACCGGTACTTGGAGTGGACAGCTGGTCCAGCGGTTGCTGAGATACCCAAAAGTAGGGCCTGGGATGGTCAGTACAGTGATGGCTAAGAGGAGAGATGGTCAGCGGGCGCCGCCTGAGCGCCGAGCGGACAAAGGTTGGGATGACATCTCAACGGGACTTGTTCGATGCAGTAGTGTCTGGCTCGGCGCAGTTGGAGTACATGCGCCCTGCAGCTAGTCACGGCCAGAGCACTTTTCAGTTTGGGTTTTTCGAGGGTCTTGAACGGGGTCGACGAGATTTCCAAGGTCTGATTTGCAATTTAGCATAGATGCGCAACACGAGGAACAGACGAGACTACCTCTCATTCATGTAGGCTATTCATTTTGATCGTGAGACACATGACAGGACACGGCGATGGACAAATCGATTTGGATGCAATTTTTGAAAGGAATGTATGTGTATACGTAGTACTGCATCATGCATGAGAATACCAACTTGGAGCTGAAACGAACTAGAAAACAACAACAAATGTCCTCCTCCCGGGAAAACGCCGTGGTATCAAAATCCCTTTCTCCAGGTCGAGACCCATACTCTGCTGCCTTTTACACGGTTACGAAGCTGAGCGACCTGCGACCCTATTTTTGTGCTTCTCCCTTGTCACTATCAAGTGATGCGCAACATCGAATCCCACATTTTTTCCAATCCGCATAACTCAAACGGATATCTCTCCGAGTACCTTGCAGGCAAAGAATACACAAGTGTGTGCGTGTTGGTATCCTCAGGTAGGAAATGCCAGGAAGATGATGGTTATAGATAAAAGGCGTAAACTCGTTTCCAACCTCATTCGCGGCCCAGTCCTTCAACAAAGAACTCACTGAGCGCCCGGACGCACCGTCAACCAATTCTGCGCTACCCACTGGCCGGCCTGGCCTGCGGTGCCTGTGGCTTTCGCGAGCAGCTCGGCCTTGTTCTTTTCGACAAACTCCTTTTGCATAGCCTCGCGCTGCTGCAGAGGGTTCATGGAATAGCCCGCGGACGGCGGCGCAAAGCGCGCTGAGAGCAGCTTCTCAAAGTTGTGGGCGTGCGGGTACGGCTGGGCCATGAGACCGTCTCTCCTGATGAGCATGGAGGGAATGCGGACTTGCATCTGTGGGAATACGTCAGTGTCGATGAAATCCTGGGACCTTGGCTTGAATATGAAAGAAACATCTGGGCTGGCTTACCTGTGACAGAATATGGGCGTACTTGACACCGAGCTCATCACCAATAAACTTCAACCGTCCAACCACCCAGGCTCGTTGGGCGTCTGTCGTGTAATCCTGCCCGTGCAAGCACGCCAGAGGCCAGGTGAGGAAGTATCCGGGAAGACCCTTTTGTGATTCCTCTAAGCCACAGGCAAAGCCTGAGATATTTGCCCGTTCGAGCAATTCGGGCCTCTTGAGATGCCATCCGAGATGGTACGGTACTGAGGCGATGATATCGCTAATGGTGTCTACACACGTGCGTGCCGCCGTGGCGTATTCTGGTGTTGTGCGGTAGTCCACTGGTGAGCAGACCCAAGCCGCACAGCGTACAATGACGGACGCGAGAATGAGGCGAGAGACTCTTGCCATGTTCCATACACTTGCGATCCAGAAGTCTTGATAGACGTCCACACGACCAGGGAACACTTCCGCCTTTGCATAGTCTCCGTTGGGGACGTTGTCCTCCCACGCTACTGTCGTGTACTGGAAGTAATCCGGCGTGTTCCTCATCCAGCTCATGAGTTCTTGGTCGACAGTCTGAGCCCGGCGTATCATGTCGAGCATAATGTCAATGTTCTCTGGGCTTCGAGCCACCGTTGACATCAATCTTGTGACCTCGGCGCGCAGCTCGGCCGTCTTGATGTTTAGTCTTTGGCACTGGGCGGCTGACTCGTCCTTGACGGCATCGCTTAGCCACCATTCCACGCCCATGATCGGTGCTGTACCCGTGCTGAGCGTGTGGATGATCATCTGTGTCCGGACGGCGATGAAGAGCAAGAGGCCCGTTTTGGTTCTGAGTTGCTTGCGACCACGAGCCTTTACTAACTGAATGGCACCTTCAATATGTGAGCCCCAGGCAAACATGCCCATCTGTCGAGCAGTCATGTTTTCGAAAAGACCCAACATAAGAACGGAAGCGAGTGTGGCGTCTGATTTTGACTGGTCGGGATCCTTGAGCGCGATGTGTGTTTCTGCCAGTGCCTTGGTGTAGTGACCTAGTGCTTTCTCGCTCAGTTGTGTCGCCGCAGCGTTCGGTCGGTTTCCTAGTGATGCCAGCGCACACGCGTTGAACGCATGTTGCAGGTGGTGGTTCCCTTGGTCGACCTTCAACAGTGGCAGCAGGTACTCCATGAACCCACGTGTGCTACCCTGCCTCGGTAGCAAGACGTAGTTGGCGACGAAGTGGCAGCTAGCCATTTGTTCGACGGGGACATTCAGACCAGGGCTGACGGCTGCGGGCGAATCGATCTCCTTTTTGAATGTTGGTGAGATACTCTTGTCTGAGCCTGACGTCGGCGAGTCGAGATCCTTTTCTTTCTGGGCGAGAGCCTTTCGGTTCGCCTTTTGCGCTCTCCTCTCTGTCGCCTTGGTCTCATTCCGGAAGACAAGATCGAACTCGTCCTTGTAGCCGGGACACTGACGGCGTGACTTGGCGCATTGGTTACATGTTGGCTTCGTCTCGTCGCACTATAGCGGAAAAAGGCGCCGTCAGTATACGCTTCCAACCTGTCTTTCTAATATTGCTCTCCGGGATGCCTCCATCTCAGATCTTACCTTTATCCTTCGAGTACGACACATCTGACAGCCCCTAGAGGGCTTTCCGCAGTAGACCATGATGACGTTTTATTCCGAGGTACTGTAGGGAGATGGTTGTTTTGGTATTTGCAACTATGTGGCAGCGTTGAGTAGGTAGGAAGACTATCCAGTGACTATAAGACACTGCTTCTCAGAGATGATTCGTGTCACAATAACCGCAACGTTCGTCCGGTCACTTTAATCGTAGGATTATTCAAAGGTGATTCAGCGTATGATGATCACGCTGACGGGCGATCAGGGTGAGCGTGAAAGATCGACTGTTAATGTCTGGACCAAAGATTGCTGCGACATGAAACTCGCAGACAGGCGAGGCGGTGTCTTTTGGTGTGCGGGAGGGTGATGATTATCCAAGCTAAAGGGGATAATCAGCCGGTGGGCGACTTGATGTGGGCGTTTGGAACCAAGTGTCGGGGACAAGCCAGGTCCGGGAGCGCGTGTTCGTGTTAAGATGATAGAAGGGCGTAGTATGTGGCAAGAGACGGCGAGAGGCCAATGGCGGCACCAAATGAGAACCGAAGGTATGGATGGGAGACGGGCAGTTGATTATGTCCAATCGGTCTCGCGTTTCTAGGGATGCCAATTGGGTTGTGAAGTATTCGTATTGAGCGGGAAGAGCACCGAGTAAGGTAGCTGAGCAAGCAAGACGGTTCTATGCGTGGTTCGAGGCGTGAGTGGAAGCGGGTTGTTGTGAGGGAAGTGAGAGCGGTAGACGACGTGGTAGAAGAATGGTAGGCGAGCGCATGGATAGAAGACTTCCAAGCCACGCGGGTGGTGTTTGAGAACCGGCGCAGTTGCGAGTCTCACTGGGCCTGTTTCCCTGCTACGTCCAGGGGTGGCCGTGGTTAGGATGATCTGGGGTGTGCCTGGTCCGGCCACGACAAGTGAAGAGTGTCAAGATGGGATTGATGTTGCAGGATGCGCCGATGAGGCCGTGTGCGTAGGGTTCGGCTAGGGAAGCGGGAATACAAGAAAGAGTGTCGTGTGTTGGGGGCCAGAGTTGGCTTCTTGACTCTTTGTATACGAATATGTCGGGTCGAGACTTTTGAGTACGGATACCTCTGGCTCTGGGACAAGGTAACAACGGACAAACTAAGGTCAGGTCGGGTAAGGTAGGGCGGGTAGGAGATGCAGTTATAATAAGTCGGGTCTAAGGTGTTATCGAATGTTCCGCGTTACTAACGTGATACCTAGTGGAGGCATGCACATGTGGCCAAATATTCGCATCGGCAGAGAGATTAAGACACGCGGAAGAGACGGGAAATGCCGTTCAAAAGGGGGGGCCCTCTGCCAGTCTCTACTGTATTGCTTTAGCAGTCTCTGAGTCCTCTGTGAAGTCGCGTCAGGCAAATAGCAGTCCCTTGTCGAGAGGTTCTCCTCTTGATGCGGGCAGTTACGCACTAGGCCAAGGAAACGCCAGATACATGCTGCGTACTGTAGGCCCCACGGAGAACTTCCATGCTGTAAGTATCATAGAAGTACCTTGTCCTTACAAACGCTGGCTCACTGGTCATGAAGGGAGTCTGCAGTGAACTACAGAAGACATGACTCCCATCCTCTCCATCTTCTCTTCCCCCTCTCCCCGACCTTGGATTAGAGGTACCTTGCCTTTCATTATGGCGCATGTAGCTAGACTCTGCCTGTAGCAGGGCGATGCGTTGCATGGGGAGGGGTAGGGGGGAATATGATGGTGATGGGGTTTTTCATTGTGGGTGGGGGCAAAGGACGAGCAAGCAGGGGATACAAACGGGCTACTATGCAAACGGTAGCCAAGTATGGATACCTTGCTTTGTATGGAGAGGTTAGCTCAGAACTAACAGGCTGGCAGGGCAGAAGCCAGAGGGCAGAAGTCGGTCGGAAAGCAGAATTGCGTCCGCCAAAGTAAAGGAAACAGGGGAGCCCGCTTTGACAACAAGCTGGAGCTGCAGACGTTGCTGATCTGAGCTGGCGGCACATTCAGTCTCTATAGCAGAGGTCAGTGACCGAGGGGGAATGTAACTCTCCTGAGAACCCAAACCAAGGAGAGGCGCTTTTGGTTGCACACCATGGCTCTGTCGACCTGTTATTGGGGCCCGGGTTCTTCCCCTGGGCAATATTCCGTCCACCTTGTTACAACCGTACCGTACCATCGTCCATACGACTCTCGAGTACTTCGTACGCACTGCGTACTGTAGAGTGCTGGAGCAAGATTCCCGTTGTGAGTGGTGGAGAAGAGCCTCGGGACTCGGAGGGCCCCCGCCAACGGTGGCTGTCGCAGAAAGCGTGACAGTGAGGGGATGTGAAGCTGGCTTGGCTCGTCCGCTGTCCAGGATACGCCCGGGATCTTGGTGATACAGCATCGAGTATCGGGGGAGTCGGGCCAGCTGGATCGGTGACCTGCCACTAGTAGTAGTAATTGAACATCTCTGACTGGCTTTCTGCCACGCCGCTGGTTGGCCTTTTGCATCTAGCCCCATGATTTGGTTCATTGTTGTGTACCCTTCAGCTGGACCCGAATCTAGGGACGAGAGCTGCTGACGGGCTGACGCTTATACTGCTGGATGGTGACGGGATCGACTCTGGAAGACGACATCGAGCAGAAAGACCAACACTATGGCGGTGGGATGCCGTTGTCTCTGCCTGCATTCATCGTATGGGACTCTGGGGCTCTGGGTTCTGGAATCTGATTAAGAAGGCGCGGAGGAGTCGGCAGAGTTGAGTTTCGACGGCAGAAACCACGAAGGCCCACACAGTACAAGATTTAAAGTGCCGTGCAAAGTACTGAGGTGTCCGTACCTACAGCTAGCGCTGCCGTCTTTGGACGGTTTCACTGCACACTCAAAATTCGCAGCCATTCAGGTCTAGACGGCTACTTCCGGAACGGACGCCGGTGTTGTCTTGGCATGTACGTACTTTTTCCCAGAGGCACAGTTCTCTCTCGTCAGGTACCACACACAAGGTGCCCTACCTTACAGATCTAGGTACTTAGGTACCGGTAGTACCTTGGTACTCCGTACAGTTTGGCAGAGTCAGGAACTCGCTGGTGCTCTTTTCTCGAACACCTCAGCCTCTTCCTCATAATCTATGTTAGACTTCAAGCTCAATTTTGCCTTGCTATCAAAGGTGAGGCACCTTTGAAGACACAGCACGGAACATCTGTACATGATGTCGATATCCACTTGAAGGATCAACTCAGCATCCCCTTGCCCCCTCGATTCACTTCCAAATTCCCACGAGACGACGGCGTGAAGCCGAGACAGTATACTGAGACATTGGCATAGTGTCCCGTATCCCTCCTGCTTGAGGAAACATGTGCCAGCAAGACAGCTTGTTGGTGACTAAAATGCAGGAAACAGGTGAGCGGCGCGGCCCCCAAAGGAAGAGCAACAACCAAGACAAGATAAAACAAGACAAAGCCGGGCCACGAGTGTCTGTTTCGAGCGCATGACTGGCGGGAAAAGCAAACATGCCCTGAATGGATCCTCCAAATGCACATCACCCTCTGGCCTGTCTTGTCTGACTCTGACTCTCTAGTCTCGAGTCTCCAGTCTCTATGTACTATCTGCGCATGGACGGCTTTGATGGGCTCGACTACCACCGTGAGGATATTTTGTCTGCCAATCTACCAATCTGACATTTCCGGATCGGACCGTTGGCAAAGCCTCTGCCCCAACGCAAGTTGCAACTATCGTCTCGTCGGTGCAGAAATACTGCATCCGCTCACTAGCAGAAAGTGAAAATCGCGTCACGCCAAGCCGTTGACAGAAATCCCGTCATCTCAGACAACCAACAACAGTCGACAAGCTCGATCTCGAACCCACAATCCAATCCAACGGACCAACGCACAGTTACAACTTATCCAGCCTAGTTGACTCGACTCGGACAAACAAAGTGCGATGTCACTGCACTGTCTCCCGCTCACGGACCTCGTACGGCGGCCGCTGTGAAGCAGAGTCAAAAGTCTTGTTTCTTTTGCTTCCATTCTCCGCTCCGATCCACCGACTGATGTATCCCCAAGGTGTGCTACCGTATGACAAGACAAGACAAGAGTTCCGACTGGAGACATCATGTTACGATCGCCAGTGGAAGCTGAGCTACCTTTACGCTAGAAGAAGCTCCCATCAGCTGCAGATAGAGTGGCATGGAAGGAATCCTGCACTGAACCATTCCCTGTCAGCTGGCTAGGTTAACAAGACCATCAGGCCAGCCAGTGTGTCCGATGCTTTGCGCAGCCTCAATGTCTCATTCACAGACTCACAGTCGACCACTTCTTGGGTCCCCTCATCCCCTCTTAGTGCGACGACGGCGGCGATGGAAAACGGAAACCTTCCTTGGCCATCCAATTGTATCTTGATTACCATTGACCCAGTGATCCAACAACGTTGCCTGTCACTTGCCCATCAACCCCTTCTGACATCTATCGTATGGCCGGGCACAAACGTCAGAGCCTAATCAGTTCAGACGCACAGTCGAACTAGATCAAGACGACAACGGCTTCCAGTCGTTCAACGGACTACGATACTTTGTTCGACTCAACACCAAAGCGCAGAATCTATCAAAGGCTATGAAGCCATATGGTTCAGCTCAGCAGCGAAATCTACATGGGAACCCCTCTTTCCAAATCATCCTATCCCGAGCTACAAGTGTCGTTTTCACCCATCATTGAGGCTTTATCAGACCGACGCTGGTAAATAAACACGTTCGTCAGGCCAGGCCGGAAGAAAGTCAACCAGACGCCCAGGATCGAAAGCTTCCGTAGCCAGCCCAGGCCCCCAAGGCCCCTTGGCTATCTTCGCAGTCTCCGAAAATAGCCAGGCATGGTCGGTCGATCACAGCGAACCGCGCTGCTTCTCTCAGATCTTCAGATATCGTTCTGACGGCACCGCAGGGCCTACCACTCATACCTAGCACGCCCGCACCACCACCCGATCACCCGATACATCCAAGTCCACACAGAAGAGGTACAGAGGTGTATGAGGATACACCCTCGATTCGGCTCCAGAACCCTGGCCTGGGCTTACGCATTAGGAGATGGCAAAGGTGGACTGCATGTTACCAGTCATTTATGACAACGTCCCATCCTCTTCAATTGTGGGGTCGCCAAAGTCTTCGTGCGTGGTGCGACTTGAGTATCCATGTGAATGGATGTACTAAACCAAAACCAACGGCTCCAGCGTATCAAGCTCGACCGATACCTCGCATCTAATGTCTTGTACAGTGTATCTGTGCCAGGGAGACATGCTATCTACATGTTGTGAACCGTTGGAGGGGCTTGACAGCAGCAGCACAAGACATCCCCATATACAGGAAAGCCTATCCGTTGCGGATATAAGCTGGATCATCCAAGAACTCACTCGACTAATGAATCTTGAGTTTAAGCAAGTTATCCCACTTATCTTACTCGCGGCTCCGGGATTTCGCATTGCACGGACCGCGTCTTCCTATCGTTCCAGGCTGGCCGAATGCTGTCATCTCTCAGGCGTCTCTCCGTCATCCACGCATAGACAATCGATGAGGCAGCAGGCTATACTCCTCGCCGGCTTGTATAACAAACTACTCGCTTTTCACCTCAACTTCGCGAAAGCCGCTGAACAAGCCTACTCCATACGCTCATCGTTGGTTGGGTTCACGGTCAGGCTGCTTAACCGGAAAACACGGGAACCTTGCTTTGCCAAGGTAAATAAACTCACAGTCGATTGACGACAACGAGGGATGAGGTAATCTGCAAAGTCAAGACGCAACGAGCGTTAAACGTTAGATGGGACTTGGCCATATCCCAGTCTCGTTGAATAAATAGCTTCATCGGCCGAGTGGTTCAGTGCTTCTTCCATGGTTTTCTATTGACTACCGATACAGCCCTAGGTCGTGCTTCGTCCCATGAGTTAATCATGCCGCATGATGCTCTTCCAACCCTGTCTATCGGGAGACGGGATCTCTAGAACGCGCCGTCGGACCTTTCCAGTGTTCCTCGCATTCTCGCACACTTACTCGGGCCTTTGTCCGTTTTTCTCTATTATCCTGGTTTCTACACTGGAAGTACCACGGCGCGGGTATTCAAACTACTCCATCTAGCTCATTACATCTCTCACACGCCGGCTTGTGTACCCAAATTCGCAATGAAATTACAAGGGATGTCTTCTCGATGACATTATTTGTCACCTCTTTCTATGGGAAAGAGTGCCCCGAAACGCATCGGTGGTCTACCCAGAGTAAGACCCGCCAATACGGCTCCGGGCATCGGGCGTGTGTTACTGCATACAGCAACGAAAAGCCGACGGTATGGTACACACAAACACATTACAAGACAATGTCATGTTTTCTCGTTTTACAAAACACTATCGCCCCCAATTCTCGATGCCTGTATCCGTGTATGCCGTCTGCCGCCCGCCGATCTACTATCTAAGGATACCATATGTGGGTAAGCTTACGGGGTAGATCCCTTCCCACCCCCTCCCCCAAACTCCAAGGTTTGGACCCAAATCGATGGGACAGGAAAATGAACTACTTACTCGTCTCCCGGAGCTCTGCGACGCCATCTTGCCGAGGCGTATAGCAAACCACACACACACACACACACACAAACAACGAAATGCCGGTTCAGCTCAACGATGGCAAATTGAAGTAGGGTTCCAAACAGATTGATAGTAGATCTAGCCGCCGGTGCTGGAGGCGGGATGGTGTGTCTGTGTGTTCGCGTGTGTGGCGAGCCAGTGCCGATGAATCGTTTTCCCCTCCTCGTCTCACAACTTCATCTCTTCAATGCCTCGGCCGAAGACAGGTAGTGGGAGGGATTCCAGGGAAACCAAGACAATTACCTTCCGCCCCTCTCTCCTGATGAACACGTGGTGACCTGGCGTGCCTGGAAATTAATTAACATGGTGGGTTAGTGGATGATTGGAGTTGCTCAATATCCGTAGGGTGGTGATGATGATGACTCTTTGTATCGCCTCGGCATCTTCCACCTACTTTGTACTTCGAGGCCAGGGAAACCATTCCACGCAGAGAGGGGCGCAAATCTCCCCGAGAACAAGAAATCTTGTCTTCCCGCCGCCGTTTCTAATTGACGACAATGTGGTTCATGGAGTAATACCAACGATTCGACGAACCCCACCGTCATACAGCTCATGCGTGCAAATGTTCCTCGCCCTTTGACCCCCTTCTCCTTGAGAAAACTAAACAAGAATGACCCGACTACCTCCAGGACAGGGGATGCAATGTACGAAGAGAAAGAAAGAGAAAAAAAACACGGCCGTGTGGCACCAATTCTAGATTCCATGCAATGTGATGCGATGCGATCGCCGAGGTTGATCGTCGGGTTACCCGCCGCTCCTCTTGCCAAGTTGCTGCTCCTCACAGCCAC